AAGGGTGTACAAAGATTTCAGAGTCCTGTCAAATGGTGACCAGATTCATCGGTTCGGGTCAATGGCAGATTGTGTGGGAGTTAGAAGAATCAGAGGCTTAAGAGTTACGTAACTTGTAATTTGAATCTTGGAGACAGAGTGGAGAAGACTGAGCCCTTTGTAAGGTACAGATTCCATGTTAAAGCAAATTATTTTCTTATGAGATAGTGTGTTCACCCTGGGAAGGTTTAGAATCAAGCATAGATATGATGAACTAAATAAAACTCCCAAGTATTTATATTTTTAGGTAAGTTTGTGGAAGAGTTTGTATTCAATATTTTGAATACATGCAGTATTCACAGCAGGTAGGATGATTCATTAATTAACATGTTAAGTCTTGCGATTCCACTGTAAACTATGTCATTAGCTGATTGATTTAGACTTTGGATCTTTTTAAGGTGAAACTTTTCAGATAGTTTTGCTTTGTGCTCTACTAGATCAAAATGGTTAAGGCAACTGAAGATTTACGTTATTTACGAGTTTACTGGTTTTATACAATGAGCTAAGTGCCACAAAAGGGTTTGTTTATTGGTCACTGAGACACTTTTTATTTATTTAAAAAAAAATTTAATGTTTATTTGTTTTTGAAAGCAAGGGTGCAAGTGGGGGAAGGGCGGAGAGAGAGAGGGAGACACAGACTCCAAAGCAGGCTCCAGGCTCTGAGCTGTCAGCACAGAACCTGACATGGGGCTCGAACTCACAAACTGTGAGGTCATGACCTGAGCTGAAGTTGGACACTTAACCAACTGAGCCACCAGGTGCCCCACTGGGACACTTTTTAAAAATCAAATAGATTATATTTGTAAGTAAGACATTTAAACTGTCCTTTCCTTTAATTACCAAGTTGAAAAGCCATTCTTAAAAGGATTGACAGGATTTAGAGAACTGTAAATAGAACAGAAGATTTGTAGATAACTCAAGAGAAAGCTACATTTTTAGCTGTGTTCTTTTAATAAAAATTAACAATTTTTAAAAACCTAGATAGCCTCATGTCATGTTAGCCGGGTCCCTAGGAAATTCCCAGCATCCCTGTTGCCACCTCCCGTCCCAAGCATTGGTGTGGCCCTAGGCTCCTTCCTCATCACTGCCTTCTAGACCCCTGGCTGGCCTCTGGCAGCATCGAAGTGTGTGCACTGCTCATGGCTCAGATGGTGCACATGGCACCGAATGTCCTGTCTCCAGCCCTCCCCCCCCCCACACAGCGACAGATTCCCTGGTAACAGGTGCCTGCTGGACAGCTTGCAGATCCCCAAGCCCCTTTAAACTTAACCCATCGGAAACTGCATTCACTGTGCCTCACAGCCAACCCCACTGATTGGCTCTCCCTCCTGTTACTTTCAGCTGATGACATCACCTTGTTTTCCTTCCCATCAATGCAAGGACTGTGGGTCAGGCATCTTTGACTCCTCTGGGCCCATTATCTGCCAACAGTAGGCACTCAAAAACCCAGTCTGTGAATGCGGAGGCCAAATAAAATACAGATGACATGATGCGTGCCCTAAGATGAGTGGAAGGGCAAGACCCCATGTCGTGATGATGGTTGTTAAAATCTCTTTGTCAGTGAGCAGGAATAGCTAACATTTCCTGAGCGCCTCCCTTGTGCCAGGCACTCGAAGTGATTTACATCATCTAACTTAAAGGGGTGGCTCAGAGAGGTTAAGCAAGTTGTTCAGGTGACTCAGTCAAGTTCACCAGCAGACTCTTTCCTCAGTGTTAGCACGAACCCTTGGAGCAGGTGCTTCCGCATTAGGTGAGATGTCCCTGATTTTTATGCAGTGACATTACTGATACAACTATGAAGATTAAATGACACCTGGAAACTCACAAATTAGCCTATAATCATCTAGTAGGTGTTTTCATTTCCTTATAAAAGAATTTGCTTTTTTTAGACAGATGAAAATACCAAAGCTTAATGATCTCAGAGATCAATACTGTCACTTATTAAAGATCCATCAGCAGAATCCGTTCTTCAAGCTCTACTGCTTGACCTTCTGCTGATTTAGGACAAATCCTTCTTGATCTTTCTATATACTGCCTGACCAAGAAGTTGCTGTTTCACTCTAAGTGGACACCAAACGCTGGTTTTAGAGGAAATGCAGCCATAAGAGCACCTTTTAAGAAATAAAAATTGAGAAATCATTCTTCTTAAAGTTCCTCCTTCCCTCTTCTTTATACAGTCCATAGAAACAAGGCTCCCTTTTCTTACCCCTGCTGAGCATTTCAACCCTAGCACCAAATTCATAACTGTGATAAAACTGAAATTGCTATCTTATCTTCATCCACCCCACCCATAGCCCCACCCCCTCACCCCCTAGGAGGATAAACCCTCTAAACACAGGCTGCCAAGACCAAGCCAAAGACTGAGACAACAATCCTTTGCTCTAACTAGACATCTTTAAAATAAAGAGTGTTCTAGTCTATAGTTCTTATTCCTGAATTAACTCTGCCCCACCCCAAACCAAAGTGTGTCTTCTGCTAAGATTCTTGAAGTTGGAGTAACTTTTGTCTAGTTCTCTTCAGGAAATTATGTATAAAAATATGCCACCTTTAGCAATGTGTATGCATTCGTTTTTTAGAAGATCAGTTCCCTTGAAATCTTCTGTTTGAGTCACAGATGCAAATTTGGAAACGGGAAAGAGTCTTGATAAAGATATAATAATTATATGTGTAGTGCCACAGAATAGGTTTCTAGGAAAGGGGTTGTAGTAAGCGGGAACTTTCTTCTAGTAATGTTTAACTAGAGCATGAGGGATTTTAATGTCTAGAGTTGCTTACTATTGTGGCCAAAACTCAAAATAATTTTAATTATAGCAAAATAATTTTTCTTCAACTACAAAGAGTAAGAGAAAGGAACTCTTTTGTGTAAGGTGGAAAGTAATCACAAAACCCAAGGTATCCTGCTACATTCAGATGATATAGTAATTCAGGAGAAACCAGCCTCATTCTCTCAAGTGCACAGACCAAAGGTGAACACATTTACCACATGTTTTGATGCTATTTGTCACCATAACCCTAGGATGATTAATGTCCTCATTCTCCAGATGGGATGATAAGAGATCATAGTTTATCCTAACTAATGTGATACTCCTTAATCTCAGGTCTTCTTTAAATTTCTCTGCGGTCACAGAAATCCGTGCTCTGTTCCTTAATCTCTCAACAGATAACATGGTGCCTGTCTCTATAATCTGAAAGCCCTGGCCCACCAACATTTACTCTCTGTTACCAGATGCCGTAAATTCATAAGTTCACTTCATTATCCCATTTGATCTCCATGTGTTTATGTATGCACATAGCAGCCGTTAAAACAGGCTAACGCTGCGGTGAAAAACACAAGCCTTTAGACACACCTGGGTTCAATCCCAGCTTTAGAGCTTCTTAACATCCCTGAGCCTCCCATCTCTTTTTAAAATGAAGGTCATAACTGTGCCAACACGTCCATGGTATTGTTTTTGGCCTAGAAGCTGGGAGTCAAATCAGCACATGCACATGAAGAAATGGTGATTATTAGCTTGTATGACTTCTGTAATAAGAAAACAATTCTTAAAAGCACATGTTAAAGATAACAAAGTGTACCAGTTTATAATAACCACTCATGAGAATGGCTATACAATCGAGAAGATGGGCAATAACAGGTGTTTGCAAAGATGGATATAGAGAAATGAGAACCTTCATACACTGCTGGTGGGAATATGAAATGACACATCCAGTTTGGAAAACAGTCTGGCACTTTCTCTTTTAAGGAACATAGAATTAGCTGTATTATGCAGAAATTCCATCCCTAGGAATACACCCAAGAAAAATGAAAACCTAAGTCCACACAAATACTTGAACATGAATGCTCATAGCAGCATTATTCATAATAGCCAAAAAGTAGAAACAACTCAAATGTCCATTGACCGATGAATGGCCAAATAAAATGGGATACATCCATACAGCAGACTAAAGGAATGAAGAATGAATACATGCTACAGATGGATGGGTCTTGAAAATATTAAGCGAAGTGAAAGAAGCCAGGCAGAAAAGGCCATATGTTACACAATTCCCTTTATGTGAAAGGTCCATAACAAAAGTGAATTGGTGATTGCTTCGGGCTGAGGAAAATGGTGGATTGGGAGTTCATGACCAAAGGTACAGAATGTTCTGAAATTGATCATGGCTATGGCTGTACAAGTCTGTGAATATACTAAAAACGATTGAATTGTACACATTAAGTAGGTGAATGGTAAGTTATGTGAATTATATCTCAACACAACTGTTAAAATGTAATAAAGTGACAGACTTCTAAGTAATTTCAGTAAGCTTGGATGCTTAGAAGTTTTTAGAGTACAGGTCAGAGATATGTGTTAAGGACTCCATCAGAGATGTGTCCACCAATCCATGGGCTTTGACTTGCCAATAGCTTTTGAGAATCTTCCTTGCTGACAGCAGCAGTTTAAAAGTGAGAAGCTTCAACTCTGGTCTTTATTTAATAAAAAGTTTTATTGTTTATCTCCTGATTTTGAAACTGATATGTGCACATTGAGAAAAAACTTAGAAAAGAATGAGATGAAAGCATAAATTAAAGAAAACAGGTAGCTTTGTGACTCTGAGAACAATATTTCTTCCTGAGTCCTTTCCAGGTTGGAAAATGTAATCTAGAACTTAGGTTTTAGAGATCCAAGTTCTCATACCATGTACTTTCATGAGCGGCATTTTGACAGAACCTTCTCGAAAATGATCACTTGAACCTGAAAACCCCATCCTCCTGAAGACTAATTTCCAGTCTACATTACACAGTGCCCAAATTCAGTGACCGTCTGTAATTATTTAAAAACACACCCGCACTTACTTTGCAGAGCCATTAGAGACCTCCCTCCACCCCAGCCCACCATTCACACAATATTTTTCCTTGGATATTATTAACCTTTGTACCAGGTGTGATCTTACTCAGTATTTACCTGGTTCTGATTTCTCTAAGCCCTAGATGCAGACCTCTGGAAATAATGGGCTCTAAGGGAAACGCTGCCCAGATCGCCAAGCTCAGGAGACACTGAGAATCCGGCCTCCCACAGCAGGCTCATAGCGTGGGGCTGACCTACTATATCAGGTGAATATACTAGCCCATTCTTTGTCAAAAGGGAAAAATGGCTTAATTATTTGGCTTCAGTCCCCCAAACTAAGGTTAGCCCTTCAGGGAACAAATAACTTCCCCAAGCTTTGAATCGTCCTTCCAGTAAAGACCTAAAATAATTATAAATATTGTTCAGATAGGACATCAGCCCTCTTACACTTCTGTTTGGTCACAGTAGAACAGAAGAAATTAGTATTTGTAAGACTTATTTGAAATTTGCCTTATAAAATTACCATCCTATGTCGGTCTTTTAGTACAAGGAAATTAACTGATCATTAAGATGTGCTGCTTTCCATAGGGATTTCCATAGGGAATCCATTTCCACAAAGAAACATGACTAGAAACAATCTTGTTCTAACTCTGTCAGCACTTTCTACATCCCATCAGTCAAGGCTTATCTGATATTTTTATTGCTGGTTATTCTTTCACAGGAAAGGGTTTTATTTTCTCAAATGGTTATAAAATTTTTTTTTCTTAAAGCATGTCCCATAAATGTCTTTTTATCTCCCGTAGCATGTTATTTAAGGTCAAGCCCTAAATATTTCTTGATGAATTATCTGTGGGGAGTCTGGGGGCCCTTCCGGCAGTGTGGGCATTTGTGATCCGACTGCGCAGTCCTTCCCATCTTTCTGGAGGCATGGTCACAACCAACCTTGTCCACAGCACAGCAGGAAAGGGCAGCTTCTTTGGAGCAAACCCAAAACACGACGAGGCCGGCTGCTGAAAGGTGAGGTGGCCGTTCTTTGGTAGCAGCCTTCCAGTCCTTCTATAGATTTGAAACATTTCAAAAGCAAAAGTTTCAGAACCAAGAGCTATGCACCCAGTGCGTGTCCGGGAATTTTCCAGTATCGTGAGGCTTCCCTGCGGGCCACCCCTGTATGGAAATTGTAAGATATCCAGTGGTTGAGGGGTGGTGAACAGACACATCTTCTGGCCTGTTTTCTTCTCTGCAAGGAGTAGTTAGGAGTCGCTTCTCCTCTTGGGCTGTTTGTGTCACTTCAAAGGCCAGTTCGGCCGAGGCGTGCGTTCGGTTCCTCTTTGGTGCCACGCACCACTGGGATGGTTTCTGTTCGTGGCTGTTCTACATCTATTGGGAAGGGTCCATTCATTTTTTGGCCATTTTTCACGGAGTTCTTCATCTTACTGAACGCAAGAGCCCTGGGTGCAGACGTTTGGTTCATCAGATGATATGTGTATGTTCTCAATACAAGTCTTTTGTCACAAAATTGTAAAAAGTTACACGCTCACATGTACCTCCAGAACTTAGCCCCAGGGTCGTGTCCTCTCTCTATTCAACTTCTCAAATGGGTGGTTGATGTCAAAGGATGCTAAATTTCAGCAAAATAATTACATGTTTCTATTGACCCAAGACCTCTCTCTATAACCCTGTTCACTTTCTTTCTGCATAAAAGTTCTTGCCTCTGAGTTTCAGACGTGCCCTTCCCAAACCTTAATCAGTAAATGAACTGGATATTTCACAAAGGATGTTTCATAAACTCAGAATCTGTAGTCTCGAAGAGGGAAATTCAGGTATTAACCAAGTAATCACATAGATATAAACTTTCAGGGTGACAAGTGCAATGTGACTCAGTAGTAGAGAGCTTTGACTCAAAAGGGGGAGGGAAGTGAAAGAAGCTTCTGGAGGAAGATATGAAGAGTCAGCCAGGAACAAGGTACCGCAGGAACAAAGACCCTTCGGCAGACAGGAGCAAAATAATGCAGGTCTAAAAGAAGACCTATGAATATGGAACTCAGAAAGGAGGATGGCTTAAGAGAAGCTTGAAGATATGAGCAGGAATTTTGTCCTCTCTCATCTTAGGAACAGTGGGAGGCCACTCAAACGTCTTTGAAGTCAGGGAGCTGGTGTGATCCAGCCTGTGCTTGGCACAGACTGCTCCGCGGGGATTTGTGGAGAAGACGTTAGAGAGTACCCTCCAGTGTGGGCAAGACCAGTCAGGAAGGCTTTGCAGCGGACTGAACAAGAGACCTGGGAAGTTTGGTCCAGGCTTCAGTGGCAGTTCAACAAGAGAGGTGAACTAGTCCAAGAAATATTTCTGTTCAAGATATAGTCATTGGGAATTGGCGATGGCTTGGAAATCAAATGTGTGGGAAAGACAGGTGTCAAGGATGACACGTGGATTGTATGAATCCTGCAAATGTGTCAATCAGCACATGAAAGACGGAGAAGTTCTGTAGCAGAGAAACCTGGCTAAGCCAGCACGTGTCCCACATCCATCTGAGCTCAGAATCTCCCCCCACCCCCCACCCCCCGCCCCCCGCCCCGTTCCTTTTCTGGTAACAGTTACTAAACTCCCTAGGAACACAGTTCAGCCAACTCTGAGTTAGCCTCTGTGGGCTTTTACTTTGAACAATTCCAAATATTCTTCGCATTTTTTTTGAAACCCCTGTATTAGACTTCTAGGGCCGCCAATAACATGACACCACACAATGGGTGACTTAAGCAACAGAGATTTCTTTTGACCGGGTTCTGGAGGCGAGAAGTCAGAGATCAGGTTGTGGGTAGTTTGCTTCTCCTGCCGCCTCTCTCCTGGGCTTGCAGATGGGCACCCTCCCGCTGCCTCTGCACAGGCTCAGCTTCCCCCACTCTGGTCAAATCTCTTCTAATAAGAACACCAGTCTAATTGGATTAAGACACACCTTAAGCATCTCATTTTACCTTAATTACCTCTTTAAAGGTCTCTTTTCCCAATACAGTGGCATTCTGAGGCACTGAGGGTTATAGCTTTAACATATGAATTGCGGGTGGGGGTGGGGGGGCAGGAAGGTAGATATGGGGGGGGGGGAACAGTTGGCCCACAACAACCCCAGAGGCTTAAAGTTCTAGAGCTAGTACCACCATGGAGCATCCTCCCCTATATCACCTCCAAGGTCTGGTGCCTTTGTGTCATGAAGAGTCCTCCGGAAGTGTTTCCGTCTTCAGCTCTCTCCCAGTACAGGCAGTGGCAAGATTTTTGTTACTCAGACTTATTAGTAACCCTACAAAAAACCAACAATGGGTAAGCAAAAATGCAGCATTCAGTATTCCTCTGATCAACCCCAGATAACCAAAGACAGAGATGTTAGTGGAGAAGAGAGAGCATTTCTGGATTTTTCTTCTAATATGGTGAGACCAGCATTTCACCTTGAAGGCACAGAGCACACAAGGGCAGGTGAGCAGCCATCTGCTCAGCTGCGTTGTGCCTGCAGCCTATGGTCAGGAATCCGGGCATCCGTGAGGGCAGGTCTTGGGGGGGGTGGGTAAGGAGGGGGACAAGCAATTTGCAAGATGCTCCTTCTCTGGTCAGAAGGCCAGTCAGTCAACGTTTCTGCTGGTTCTCCTGGGAGAATGAATGAGAAGATAATGCCAATAGATGATTCTATTTTTAGGGAAAAAAAAAAAACAAAAAACGGGCTCCTGGGTCGCTCAGTTGATTAAATGTCCAGCTTCAGCTCAGGTCATGGTCTCACAGTTCTTGAATTCAAGCCCCACGTCAGGCTCTGTGCTGACAGCTCAGAGCCTAAAGCCTGCTTCGGATTCTGTGTCTCCCTCTCTCTGCCCTTCCCCCACTCGTGCTCTGTCTTTCTCTCTCTCTCAAAAATAAATAAACATTAAAAAAATTTTTTAAAAACAACACTCTATGCATGTAAAAGTAAGACTGTAACTAGCATAGATGATCAAAACAGTATAACTGTATTGAATCAGCAACTCATAAAAGCTACTTGAGAGGTGAATATTTTATTATTTTATATAATATCTCATAGTCTATATTCTCCACCAAAGTCACCTTCAGTTTTCCTGTGTATCTAGTTTCATCCACCCTCTTAAATGTCATCACATCATCTTTATTGGAATTAAGTCCCAAATGAATTGCAAACCAATGAAGAGTGCCTGCTTATTTGCTGATTATGTACAATTTGTGTTAGGGAATGAGCCAAAATTTCTTTTCCTCCTCAGTCCTCTTAAGTCTCAAAGTCTTATCTGCTGCATTTTGGAAACTGAATATCACTAATTGAGTTGTTTCCTGAAATGCCTCTCCTGTATTAATCCAACGAGACAGGCAGAAAATGCTTGGTTTACACTTCAGACTAGAATAGATTGTTTTGTGAAGCCTGACTTCACAAAAAACTGTCACTCTCTCCGTAATGACAGCACTGGAGGGTCCATGAAAATGAAATGAACAGAACAGATCTCCATGAAGTGGTTCAACTTGGGGTTGCTCTAGCTCGTTCATTCTGATACGTTCCCCTACACATAGCCAGTACTAATGGGCACTGTTACATGAATGAGGTTTGAATATGGCCTCTAGCCATGGCTCAAAATAAAGGAGATCACAGACTGATGTGTCTTCATTCAAGGCTTGTATATTGTTTGTTCCTACTACATACCTAATTCATAGATTCTTTCTAGTGCTATGACAACTGCTCCAGTGCTCCTAAGATCTCATTAGATCCTAAGATCTCATCCAGCTTTTGCCACATTAGTGCCTTGGCGTTTCATCAGTCTTAGTTAAAGTTCAAAGCCCTGCTCTCTGCTCGCATGAGTGGCTCTGCAGGTATCAGGAGTCATGGGGACTAGTCAGCCTCGTAATTACATTGTTTGTTTACCAGTTTCACACAAAGCCAAAGCAATCCCAGGCACGCCACCAAGCAGCCTTTAGGGAAATAGATTCCAAAAAGCTTCACTGAAACCACTTATTTAGTGACACTCAGAGACACTGAATCACTCTACTGAGCGAGAAACACTTAGACCAAACAAGCAGAAACCCAGCCTTTCAAACACCTGACCTTTGTCAAAGGTTTATTGAGAAAGGAAAGCCACAAAAGAGCTGGTGGTGCCTAATCCAGGCAGCCTTTGTCACACCGCTTTGCCAGGTGACGGTATCCTATGACATCGGAAATGAGGAAATGAGCTTAAGAAAAAAAATGGAAGGCTTTTTCCTCTGTAGAAACTGGATAAAAGTTACTATTCCTTTTCA